ACTCCAAGCGTTGCGAAATATACTTACTTTAGCAACGATATCGGGGGTAAGTAAATAAATATGTAGAATTCCAATTGTGCAGATATATAGGTTCACTCTGTCTTAAACATTCAGAACCCTAGAAAGGCCGTCGAAAAAAAAACAGTATGAAACTAGCAATAACCATTCATGAATAGGTTTACGTATTTCAAGTCGGTTTAACAATAAATATGCAAAAATATGCATGTGAACGAGCAAATGCTATTTACTAGGGTGTGGACACAAATTATGTCAAATACCTATTGTGGTTGGCCAGGTGTATGGCAGGGGAGGTAGCATAAGCACATACGGCAACTCATTTTCGCTAAGGGAGTATTCAGTAAAGTCCAATGACCAGCAAAACCACAAATTCCTCACGTAAATGCTTAATTGAATTACAATAAAGTATTACGTCGAGTATTTGTGATATGTTTCGAGGATATTCCTCATGTTCAAGCAGCTACATACAAATAGGCTCAAACTAGTCAAAACACTCCCCCGCGAGTAAAGAGAGAGAAATATTTTTTATCAACGTATTAGATGGAATTTTGAAGCACAGTTTTTTGCAACTAATGGAATCGCAACCGAAATTGTTGATAAAAACACAAAACCAGTGTTGGAATTAGGAATATATCCAAAAACTTACAAGCTAATTAAAGTTTTTTGCAACTTTTTTTTTAAAAACCACCTTGTGAGACTCTCCTAAAGAATGCACGCGCCCGTCTCCGGGTCTCTTTAACGGTAGCGGAGCATGTGTAAGGCAAACTTCATGAAATCTTAGGATAGAGGACTTTTAAACAGTTTTTTCGCTCTTCGGCCAAGTCTTTCGATGAATTTTTATGCAAATTTTCAAAGATGAAGTTTGGCTTCGTTATTTATCCAGATCTAGTCTCGTATTTTTTCGCGTTACCACTTGGAAGTGCCGTTCTGAAACAGAAATTTTTATGAAATCCGAAACAAAATAGGAATGAGATTATCCAAAACAAAATCGGAATGAAAATATGAGGATCTTCTACAAGTGGTGATTATGGCGAAAAAATTACGGAAGAATTTTTGGGATGACTTACGCAAAGCCGACGCACTCGCACGAGGGACCAACTCGGATTTATCATCCATAAGACCAATTTTGAATAAAATATCACCACCACCAAAAACTGCAAAGCAATTATAACATTCTAGCTCGGGAACAGCAGCTGCATTTTATGTTAGAAATAACTCACTTACTCGTAGTAGCAAAGGTCCCTTAGGATTCATTGCGACTATTGTCATATTTTTAGTGATTACAGATCTACGCTGAGAAAGTGGCTAGGTACATCATCGTATTCTTTTATCATAAAGGATATAGTAAAATGTAGAGTGGCGCTTTCGAAAGACAAACAAAGCTATTTTTGGGTTCAAATTTCCCTTCAGTTTATTCTCGATTTTCCCTTCACATTTAGTTTAAGTTGCTCCAAAGTTCATCTTAAGTTAAGGTTCTGTTGAAATTCCCGTGAAGATCCGGGTAAGCTTCCTTGAAGTTCTCAAAAAATGTTTTCACGTTCCTTTGACGTTACTTACACGTTTAGGTACTACTCCTTTGCATTTTCCCCATCTACTTTTTTCATGCTGCTCATAAAGCTCCATGAAGTTCCTTTCAAGTTCACTTCAGGTTCTTCTACAGTTCCCTTCAAGTTGATTTACAATTTCTCCCAAGTTTCCCTAAAAATTTATTGGTCCTCTCAAGTTTTTGGCGAGTTCGCCCTCATGTTTGCATAAGTTCATCTAAAATTTTTGTGAAATTAACAAATTCTCTGACAAAACATCGGACTTGTGGTAGATTGAGGTAGGTACACTAATGGTAAAGAAGGTACACAAATAATAGTTTAGGGATTTTTTTGAAATCTTTTTAATTCCCTCGTGAAGTTGGTCCTGATCGGAATTTCCCAAAACAGCAAGGGTGAAATGGAAGCAAGTTCGGGTACATTGAATTAAAGTTTAACTTAGCACCATTAAAGGCAGGTGTATGCAAAATCTGAGACCAATTGGTTGTCGTATGTAAAAGCTATGCACGTTTTACTTTCAAAAACAGCATCTCAAGGGTTACTGCAATCCCAAGGTAACGAATATTCCCTTTTACAAACATCTCCTTGGAGAAAAACTTCTCTCCAACTCCATTGTGGAATCATTTAACGAGCCATTCCCGCTGGGGACTGGACAACCCATAACCATCCATGGTGGTGCAGGGTGCTCGAAAAGCAGGAAGAACAAGCTACAGCTGACTGGGAAGTCTATATATAAGGCAAACCTAAGGCTATACAAGAAGGAGATTAGGAAGCGCCAGACAGAGGCATGGAAGAGTTTTTGAAGTTCTATAGAATCCACCTCCTCTGCATCCCGACTGAATGAAATTCTAACAAACAGTTCATATTATACCCCAGCTAGCCTCAGACGAGAGGATGGTTCCTACACGGACAACCTTTCAGAGACAGCCAAGGTATTGAGAGGCGCTGTCATACTTTCCCGGAGCCAACACAGCGCCATACCCTACCTAGCCAGAGGCAACCCTCTTCACTCCCACGAAAAATGACTGGGCGGTTGTGAGTCAGATAGTGGATGTGGTACCTGGGCGGCGAAAACGTTTTCAGCATATAAATAACCAGGAATTGACGGCATAATACCGGACCTCCTGACCTACTTCTGTTATGGAGCAATTGTCTGGCGGCGTACAAGCAGACTCTCCATAACCTTAGCACTTCTTCATCATTTGCAAAAACTAGCGTGCCTTGCCCGGCAGCGATGAGAACAACCCCCACACCCATCATGGAGATCCTTCTGAGTCTGCTTCCAGAATTTGAGGTGGGACACTTTCGAGTTCTGGGCGAGGCGATTAAGAGATTGCCTACCCTCGAGTCTATCCTAGAAGGGCGATCACATTTACTCATCCCTCAATTCATATTAGGGAAAAACTTTCACATCTTTTTTGGTGCGGAAGTGGCATCCCAATCAGACATATTCATCTACACGGATGGAACTAAAACAATGGAAGTAACATCTCTGGTATCTACTCCAAAGAACCGAACTTTCCATCTCACTGCTATAGGGAAACTCCTACTGTATTCCTATTAGAATTGGTACCTAGTGCAGTTCTCTTATGCATAACATACAAAAAAGCTATCAGAATCTCCAGTGACAGCAATTGGCCACTGTAAAATTACCCCTAGGCTACCAGGTACATTCGTTCATTACAATGTTCATGTTCAAGCTGCTTATATTTTTAGCGGCCAACTTCACAAGAGCATTTTTGAGGAAGAACGACAAGAGGGAAAACCGAGAGGAAAACACAATAATGAATAACGGCTAGTATTTGAATCAGAGAAGCTGTTAAGAATATTTCAGCTCTTAATGGAATGTGTAATAATTAAAGTTTAACCTATTTCTGTATTCCCCAGAAGTGTTAATTTTATGTTGCGTACATATATATCATCATTCATCCGGCTAACAAGCCTATATTCTCAGCGAGAGCTACAAGAACTTGTAGGTCTATTCAAATCTACATCGTTCTCTAAATCCGGCTCGCTCGTATATTTAATTCAAAATTAAAGGGAGTTATTCACGTTTTCGTCTTTGTTAATCACTCCAAGTTGAACTATTTCAAAAATTCACTTAATAAAGTCTCATTGTACTTTATTGGTTGATTCTCTTACTATTCGACCTCATTCCATGCGTTGTTCCCTTCCACTTCTCGAATATTTCCACCACACATTTATGGAAAAATCGAATAAAACTAGAGTTCTGCTAGTAAATACCCAAGAATCCAGAAAATGGGGACATATTCATTCTAGGAAGTTTACAGATTTGTTTGTAATGCTCGTGTAAATTTGCACAAATTATATTTAAAATTAATTTTGTTCATTTAATTTCTGTTTTATTTTTCGTTTCTGCAGCATTGGATTGGAGATATTTAAATTTAGAACAATTAACAATTTTGTCCTGAAACACAATTTAGTGAATGTAAGTTGTTCGCCGTAATTTATTCCTAGTATGATTGCGGAGCTAAATCAAGGATGATTAATTTATCTCGCAACGTTTGCTTGCCTCTATTACGTTCAGTAAACTTGCGCAAAAAGTTTATGCACCAAAGCAATAATCATATGCATCGATTAAGATATCAAAATCCCCAGTGTGCGCATTAATAATATCGGCCATAATGCAGTAAGATAAAATTGAGGAGTTGGCATGGCCGATAACCCCATCTTCATTGAATTTCAAATTTCGGTCCGCTAAATGCTATAGAAGCCAGAAAAATTGGAGAACATGTATCGTTCCAAATTTCCCTGCTTGGCAGAGTTTACGCCAGGCGCCGGAAAACCTAGCGTCGGCTCTTGAAAAAGAGACGTTAGGTCATTAGACTTAGGCGTCTCCGCAAAGAGAAACACTTGCCGGAATTACAACCGAAAATTAATCGTTACTTCATAATTCAAACAGTTCTCTGTTGCTTTATGAACATCCCTCCTGAACAAATCCCGAACTCTGCAACGTCTTTATCGAACATATGGGCAAAAAATAGCCCCTATATCTCGTATCTGTCGCCAGATTGCTTTCATACAATTCACGTTCGCATCTCAACCACCCCTTAACGGATAAAATCGATTTATGTTGCAAAAATTGATCAAACACTTGCTCTGGAATGCAAAGAAACATGTGTTTGCAAGTTATGTAAGCGGAGCACAACAATTTCGCTGAAATAACATAATTGAAATGTAAGGCAATTCATTAACTTGCTTTCCGGTTTACAGAAAATACGTGAATGGTGGCTTCTGTATACCTTTTGTTTTTATACATTAAAAGGGGACTGGTAAAATATACAAATTCTCGACATTATTAAAACACCAACACTTGGTTTTATCAAAAATGTTGAGTGTCGAGATTAGTAGAGGTAATTAAGCTCAACTTTTACAAAAGTTTGACAAAAAATAGAGTTTTTAGCCTAGAGACTTTCTCACCTGTAAGGGCGACCAAAAATATCCATGCAAAAACGCCGAATTTCTTCATTTCGATGCCCTCAATTAGTAATGCCCATTTCACTAATAATCACTGAACGGTTCACATTTCAATAAAATATTAATGAGAAATGTCTAATAATATTTATTTAAAAATTTGATTTATTTAGCGCATTTTATAGAGGGTGTACTTCCCTTATGAAGCACATGTGTGATGAGTACACACGCGAAGAAATACAGATACAGAGACCGAGATAGTCCACAAACTACAGTCAGTGGAGTATTGACCGGGGAGACCGTCTTGCGCCGAGGTGTTTCGTCTCCCCCGCATGGACGCTACCGTCCTTTTTCAATATCAATAGACCAGAAGCGGTTCCTCTCCCTTCCTCTTTAAAAGGATGCCGAGATACCTACTGCATCTTACGCACTTTATTACATATCTACGTTTCTGTTTTCTAGGTAGTAATCGTAAACCAGGTAAATATGCGAGGGTATCAATGAGATGTACAGATTTATGGCGATTTTGTCTGACCGACGAACAGATTTTTCACACCCCCAATTTCGTAGAGGTCGAAAAGCTAGCGTGGACGAATACTCATCTAAGTAAATCAGCTTGTTTGTTTCGGGAATATTTTCCCTTGAAGGAAATGATGAAGAAGGTCGATCCAAACTGAATGAGGGTGACGTGTTTAGCAAAAAAAACGCATCTGCACAGTTTCTATTATGCGTAACTCACAAACCAAAGAAGGAGGAATCGATTATATTAATTCTACGCTTTTTGGCACTAGTTACCAGGAGATGCCGGAAACATTACTTCAAACTGAACTTTTAAAAGTAAAGTTCTTGGACTTGAGAACTTGTATACAAAATTTTATTACTTTTCTGTAAGAAAAACTTGATGCGTCTCGAACAAGTAAACCTCATATTCAAGTACTAAAGTTCTGCAAAGCAAAATGCTATTAAAATGTCAGGTGCTTTATAAATGTGGCAAACGCCGCATGTACTAATGAAGTAAGCAAAAATTCACAACAGTTCTGCGGTAAAATGAAATATTTCAGTAAAAGGATTTCTAAGGGAAAAATTTGCAAAGTTATGTTTGATAAAAGCGTGTCAAAAATGTTAGTTTAGTCTGCCGCACCAAGTCTAAGAAAGATATGATTATGGTCCAAAACGATCCAACATGTCTATATTGCAGATGAAAAATCGACCATTTTGATGCGTTTGACTCGGCAAAATTGGTTCGTTTGTCACTCATTACTTACAAAATACCTTGGAAATAATGAAACATAATTCAGTTCAGGTACATTCTTCGTCTTATTCAAATTACGGAAACGTGAAAAACAACTTTTTACAGACTATTGATTTCAATTAACTTTACCAAACTCGAAAAGAAGTTACAAAGCGTTTCTTTTTTCTAGTCAAACTTCACATGGCAGAGCTGAGAGCAACAAAGGGCTGCAATTCTGCAGAGGACAAAGTAAATTATCTAAAATTCCTTCAGTTTTCGTTGCTGTTAAACGCAGGTTTCCTTATTAAAGCGCATATAAATGATAAATCATTTTGCAACGTTTACAATGGTTCGGAACTCGTATAACTTTTCAATTCAATTAACTTTTTTTCTACAGTTCAGCACATTGCACAACTTTCTACAATACGAAGTAAACAAGAATGGTCTGGTCAAACACTGATAAAATATTAAACTTTTAGGTGAGTAGTTCTATTGAAAAATCGTAAACAAACATAGGAAATTAAAACCCTTATCTAAGTTAAATTCATGACCTATAGCGATTGACGGTTCAAAATAGAGCTTTATCATCTGCCTTCTTGATGCTTAAAGATTAATGCTTTTTTTTCTAAAATGTTACCTTTTTTCCCCAAGCCTTTATACGGGAATGAACTATATATTAAATCCTAAAACCCATCAATTTTACAATTTCAAGGCGGCAGAGTTTTTTCGACTGCGTCCATGCAAATGTATAATATACATTTGATTTGTTGCGAAAATTTGCGTTCTACGGCAGAAAAACGTACATTTGCTGGTGACATTTGCATTAAAATTTTTGCAAAAGTGAAATGCGAACAAACAATTGTATAAGCTACAATGTGAGTCAGCTCTTAAGATAAAGAACTAGTAGCGTCGCAAAAGTAGCGGACAGACGGACGGACGGACAAAGTGGCCACAATAGCGCATTTTTTTTTATTTTTGTGGAAATGCGCTAAAAAGTGGAATATGAGTAATTATTTTATTGTACTTGTAGTGTATCACTATATATAAGTATCTAAATCAAATTGGGTGATATAGAGGCGACAGAAACAAACATTTTTTAAAAGTTAACTAAGGGTCAAAAATATATGTCACATTGGTTTTACGATCTCTCCTCGTAAGTATATCTCCGCCATTTGCTACAAAACAAAATCCAAATGACTTGAAATTAATAATTTAGTAGACTCAAGTCCCCTCAACCAACTTCCGTGGGTAAATTCCAAAGAAACCAATTGCACAAATTTTATCTAATACATTTTGGGTACTGTTGCCGCGAGACGAGACGAGACGAGACTTTCGAAAGTCTCGTCTCGTCTCGTTACCTCGAGACGAGACCAAGTCTGAGTCTCGTCTCGTCCTGGTTCAGTCTCGTCTCGTCTCGTCTCGTCTCGTCTCGTCTCGTCTCGTCTCGTCTAGTCTCGTTTGGTCTCGCCTGGTCTCGAGACACTATCCAAATATAGTGTATGTAGGTAGAGCAATGAGCATATAGCATATAAAAGACCACGAACTACGAAGGCATGACAAGTAAATAATAGGAGTAATATAGTAGGTACGAGAGCCGGACGCATGGAACCAGTAGTGATAAGCTAACAAGATGAAATCTTTGTTACTGGATTCCTTGCAACTTGAATAACACAAAATGAGTTTTCTGCCAGCCTTTTTCTGGCCGGAATGTTATTAAAAATAGGCACTTCCGGTGAATTTTTTTCCGCAAATTAAACCAAAAACCAAACCACCTGAAATTGATAACCGTAGGTTGAGGGCGATGGGTTTTAAGGAATAATTCTTTTCTACCGAGTTTTGTCCAGCCGGAAATAGCGGCAGAAGCGGATTAATTGAACTGTTTTTTTGTGAATTGCTATACTCATAACACAACAACTGGAGGCCTCAAGATGGCCTCCGTGTCCGTGGGCACAATTAAACAAGATATGTACGAAGAATCGCATACGATTTTCAGGGAATTTTTTGACAGCTCGTAATCGGAAACACGACTTCTAATCCGCAGTGATCCTTGAACTCGTAGAAATCGATTCGCAAAAGTTTATCTTTTTTTGTTCTCGATTTAGACTATTCCGCTAAAACAGTACAAATAAATACAAACAAATTCGAGACCAAACGAGAGTCTGACGAGACTCATGCTTAGTCTCGTCTCGTCGAGACGAGACGAGACGAGACTGAACCTCGGTCTCGTCTCGAAAATTCGAGACGAGACGAGACGAGACGAGACTGAGTCTCGTCTCGGCGGCATCACTAATTTTGGGCACAAATAAAAGAAAAACATGAGTCTGTATCAGAATATGTAAATATATCGTATTCAAATACACACAATTAATTGTCTGAATATGACAAGAGAACTCAACCGCAATAAATGCCCAAGAAAAACCTGAAATAAAGAGAGGCACAAGTCCATTACATTCACTTCACACGCAGGTGATCTATTTATTTATTTCTTGATTGTCCCTCTCGTGTTCTGGGCCCTCAACAGGCTTTCGCCCAATTACAGAGTAACCCGCATAATACTTTTAAGTTATCGATACTTTTCAAAGCGACGACTCTTCAAAACGAGTAACACTTATGGCTTTTATTAAACAAGGGAACTTTTTAACCAGGTCTCGTTATGCACTACAAATTGTTTTTTCAAATTGGCGAACTTTTTCTCTTTTGTTAACTGACAGACTATATTAACTTCTCACAAGACTTGACTTTAATTTAATCTGCACAGGTTATTCTGAATATGACGAAACTACGTCTCAAACAAACTTTTAGAAAGGCGAGGGAGTGATAGAAACTGTTAAAAATGCATTTTTTTAGCATTTTGCGCTATTTAGCAAAAGACATAAGGTTATTTTCTTGTAGAGCATAAAATTCCCCGTCAACTTCTGTTCTATCCCTATTCTAACGACTTAAAAAACAAAAAACTCACCCCCTCCTCTGATAGAGGGTACCTTTCTAAAATTTCGGTTAAACCCAATGGACATCTGTTTAAAATAGTGAGGGCAGAGGGGGTCAAAAATCGTTCCGTTTTGGCTGAAGATCTTTTTGAGTAAAATATTTAGTGCTTTGGTGAAATAAAATCATCCACAATGCGTTTTTTGTCAAATGTAAAAATGTTGAATTATTAAGCTTGAGGTATTCTTAAGTGCTCAAATACCGTAGCACCTGTAGCCCCCCCCCCCTCCCTTCCCTATACATCACTGAAAATGTAGAAGTTAGGGACTCATTTAATCTTTTTTAATCTGGTAAAACTCTAAATTTTAGCCCCCGGAATTTTGCCACAAAACTTGATCTTATAAAAATTTTAAAATTTCAGGTTATAAGCTTTGGAGTGAACTTGTAAACTTTCGATCGAAATTTTTCCAGCTTCAGTAGATAAGTTAGAAGTAAAGGCGAAAATCGACCAGGGGCCTGTTTCATAAAGTAACTTTTCAACTCTTCTCTTGTCACTTTTCATTTGAATAATTTTGAAGTGCAAAAATTATTATCTGTTTCATAAAATATTTTAGTCAGTAGTTGTTATTCATCTCTACTTTACATATTTTGAGTGTCATTTATCACGTGTCAAAATAGTCTTTATGGACCCAAATATTATCTGAAAAGTGCAAATTGCAAAGTGCAGAGCAGAGTTGCAAATTAAGTTTATGAAACAGACTCCTGAGGTAACTTTTTTTGAAAATTCGTATGCAAAAAAAACTGTTCCTGAATTTATTCAATACAACTACACAAATCAGAGTGCCCACCAATTTTCATGAATATCTAACAGTATAAAAGCGACACAGTGTTATCTGTGCACAGGCACATCGCCAACAATGACACTGGTCGAGTTTCACGATGAAGATGACTACCTTTTGCGAGCGAAGAAAAATCTCTTAAATAAAATGTTGAGGTTTTAAGTTTCGAGTTTAATTTTGTAGAGCTTTAAAATATACTTATATGTAAATTAATGTGTACATTTTTTTGAAAAAACTTCAACTGTAGTAATACGTTATATGTAAGTACAGAACT